CCGGCCCCGTGCGCAGCCCGAGGGCAGTTTGTGGGGCCGGGGCTGGTGGCCGCAGGCAGCTCCGGGCGGCCGCGCTCATCCGCGTGAGCAGGGCTCAGCCTGCTGCTTCCCCGCTCCGCGCGAGCCCGCTTGGTTTGGCCGCTGCGTCCTCCCCTACGTGGAATTTATGTAAATATTTATTTTTGTGTGAATACCATGAAGTAACGACCCTTCTCAAGGCGCGTCCCGCGGCCGCTCGGGAAGTCCTGACGCTCAAGCGAGAGGCCGAGACAATCGCTCTCCCCGGCTCTCTCTGCGGGTGTCACCGCGTCGCTGCCTCTGCTCCTGCCGGGGGCCACCACCAACCTTAGCCATAAATTTGCCATCCAGCAACTCCAAAAGAGGTGACCCAGGGGCTTACGAACAGGTACCATCAGATACAGTTCGTTTAGGGTTTCATTTCTGCGAGGTTTTGCGGCTTTGCCAGATCCCCTTTAACCTGTCGTAGCAGTAGGAACGTTTAGCAGCTCTTGCACCTCTGAGGGCGCTGCAGGAGCGCGGCGAGACGCGGCCGCGCGGAAGGAGGGAGCGCAGCCCAGCACTTCCCGAAGCCCCGGGGCAGCCGCGGCCGTGACGAGCTCCGACACGCGGCACCGGCCGTGGCTTTGCCGGGGATTTTTGGTTTCTGTTCCCAACCCTCTCGCGAGCTTCGCGGTTCCTTTGCGGGGAGCTCCTGGGCGCCCCGGTGCTCCCGTCCTGCCTGCGCCAGCGCCGGGCGCTGAGGGCTGGGAATCCCATCTGGGTCGCCACAAGCGGGAAGGAGCAGGATCCACCGGCTTGCCAGGTCGCTGAGAGGTGGAAGGAGGATGCTGGGTTAGCAAATGGTCTGGACGGTCTTTGTTTTGTTTAAGAAAAGTTAATCAGCGGCGGAGGTTTGTTTTTTTTTTTCCCTTTTTTAACCACCACCATCCTGCCCGGATGTGCGGTTCCCATGACAGGGTTTCGGCATGGGACCACGTTCCCAGGACCCCAAGCAAATGTCACTTGTACCTCCCCATCCACAGGGCCGCCTTGCTCCCAGAGGTGGCCGCCGGATTTAGTACCAGTTCATTAAAAAATAAAAATAAAAATAAATGCTGCTTTGAACTCAGAGGGTTAATATACTTTTGATTTGTAATTTTTTGTAAAACTTTTTACAAGGTAGCATAGTATTTCACCAGAATATCAACTACAATCCGTCCATGGTCTGATTTTTATATAATTTAGTGGTGCTTTAGAAACTTTTGTTTGGTTGTTTGAGAGCTGTACAGCTCAGTTCTTCGCCTGTATCTACCTAAGACCAATGTGAACCTTTGTATTTTTGCTCCTGATTTTGGACTCAGTGAAAGTGTACTGTTTACATGTACAGAACTCCCGGCCCCTGTGTGTTCTGCACGAGCTGCTGTTGAGGAGGAAGCTGCCCCGAGCCGGCCCGTCTGCTTAGCCCAGCCACACGCTGCTCCGGATCCGCACGCGCCGCTCGGCTGGAGATGGGGCTGCAATTCCCAAGGGGGAATTGCTCCCGGAGCGCCCGAGCCGGGCGGGAGCCCCCGAGGAAGCCGGGGGGAACCCTCATCCCGCGTAATTGGAAACACACTTTAACTAACGTGGTTAAATGGCCCAAGATGGGAAGTTCAGATGAAGGTGGCAGGAGAGCGTTCCCTCGGGACAGGGGGCTCCGAAATGAAGCAGAGGAGAGATCTTCGGAAAGCCGGGGCTTTCCGGAGGGCTCAAACGGGAAGCATATGGCACTTAATCCAGCTTTTAAGGTGACACTTTATTGCTTAATCAATTGATTCGTTTTGAAATGATATTTTTGCAGATAGGCACCTATGCAACTTAATGTGGCTCTTAAGCAGATGAGCACTTCCTCCTCAACGAGCTTGATAAGAGTTATTTGTGTTATATACTGTGGATTTTTCCAGTAAATGTGGCTTAATATTTTAATTCTTAGAATGTGTGTCTATTATATATGTGATGCAACTTAATTCTGTTCTGTTTGTGGAATGATTAGCACAGGCCAACTCCCTGTTCCCCTCACTTAACAAAGACCAATGAGCTGTTAATCAAGCTGTTATCTCCATGGTATTACTTGCTAAATGCACTGATTTCATAAGTATGTGGAATCCTTTTTTTTCTTTGGAATCTGTATATCATATATAAGACTGAATCTACTTAATAAACACTGTATAACAAAAAGGGCTTTTTCCTCCCGTATCCAAGCGCTGGCTGCTCCAGCTGCGGCTTCAGCTCCCCAGCCACTTGCGCCACCACCAACTCGGAGCCGCTGCTCCGGCCCAGCGAGCGGGCGCCGGGATGGCTCCAAAACACGCCCGGAATTTGGGGCTTGAAGGAGAAAAAAGAAAAAACAAGGCAAAACAGAAATCATTCCATGATTTTGAAGTAAGCTGTGCTTTCCATTCCGTAACAGACAGCTGCAGTTCCTATAGATAGCGGCGTTAGCGCTCATAAGTGGGGCTAGTCACAAATTTTATGCTTAACTTATATTTTGACGAAATTGATTAATTTTGTGAAATGTCTGTTTTTTTGTGGAAAAAAAATGGAGTTTTCATTGAAGTTTGTGGAAAGTTCTCCCTCTCCTCATGGAAAATACTGATTTTTCGTATCAGCTTTATTCACTAAGTATAATAAATCTTTGCATCCATAAAGCGTTGATCTCCAAGTACCATGCAGCTAAAACCCTCCCAATTTGCCTCAGCGATGGGGTGAGCGGGAGGAGGACCCAGGAACGCCAAATCCCATGGATCCCAAAGGCTTCCCGGGAAAGGGTGTCCCTACCGCCGCGCGCGGGTGACGGGCGCTGCGGCTGTTCCCGGAACACCGTGGGGACAAGCAGTAGCCACACAAGGT